AGACTAACTAAAGAGACCTTTACACTGGCAACAAAGTCTTTCCACTATAAGTGACCAAAAACTTAAGCATAAAACAAAAAACAATAGAAACATGAAAAGGCAAGGCAATAAAATGCCTCTCAAAACTCCCAACTCCTCCAAGCTGATCCATGTGTCATCGAGGGGAAAACAAAAGCCACACCGCCAAATTATTTGAAAAGATAACAGAAGAGACTAAAAAGCAGATCAATATGATGCTCGGTGGGCTCACAGAAGATAATGATGTAATAAAGCAATCAGAGGGATTACAGAAGACACTGATAAAAAGCTAGTTGAGCTAAACAGATGATACACAACATGAATAACCAGTTTAACAAAGAATCAGCATCCTTGAAAAGGATGAGGGTCGGAGAATTAGCTTAGTGGTTCTGGTGCCTGCCTCGAAAGTGCAAGGTCCCGAGTTCAATCCCTGGTACCCCCCCCCCAAAAAAAAGAAATAATGAAACATCCATAAAACAGGAGTCCAGAAGAATAAAAATTATGTTGAAAGCTTGGGCAGCAGAAGTAACCAATGTGAGGACAGAATATCAGAACTAGAAGACAGGGATGTTTTCAGTGACGAATTACTTAGAAATACCTTAAAGATAACAAGAGGACTTGAAAAATGGATCCAACAACTGATAGATGATGCTAAGAAGACTAATCTAAGATTAATTAGAATAAGTAAAATATCAGAACACAGAACAAATGGCATAAAAAATCTGTTTACAAAAATAGCAGAAAACTTTCCAAATACAGGAAAAGAATTAAACATACAGATAAGTGAGGCATATAGAACCCCAAATAACCTTTCCTCATCACATCAGAGTAAAAAATCCCAGAAGTCCAACATGGGCAGAGTCTTAAAAGCTGTTAGAGGAAAGCAAAGAATCACTTGTAAAGGTAAGCTCATTAGAATTACACCAGACTTTTCAACACAAACCTTAAAGGCCAGGAGAGCTTGGAGTGAAGTGTTTCAAGCCCTAAAAGACAACAATCTTCAACACAGACTTACATATCCTACAAAACTTTCTTTCAAAATTGATAGAGAAATAAGGTATTTCTATGAAAAAGACCTTCTCAAGAAATTAATGACCACCAAACCAGTGCTACTAAAGATTCTCAAGGATATCCTAGAAAGAGACATGAAGCAACATGCCCAAAACTCCAATAGTTCGAATATACCAAGCAGAGTGAGTAGTTCAGCAGAAAAGAGAAAAAACCCACACAAAACAGAAATCAGCAACAGAAAAATAATGCAACAAGAATAAGTCAATACCTTTCAGTAGTAACTCTCAATGTGAATGTGTCAGTTCCCCAGTCAAGAGACACAGTTTGACAGACTGGATCAAGAAACAAAACTGAACAATATGCAGTATATAAGAAACACATTTAATCCAAAAAGAAAATTACAGATCAAATACCAAAGGGTGTGAAACAGTATTCCGTACAAATGGAAGCTGGAAAAAGCAAGAGTAGCTATCTCTCTTTCAGACAAAGTGGATTTCAAGTCAAAATTGATCAGAAGAGGCACTGCGATTGGTTGAGGAACAATTCACAAGGAATTGATAACAATTATAAACATATATGCACTAAACATTGGCAAGTCTAACTTAATAAAACAAAACACTAGTGGACATAAAATCGGATAAACACCAGTACAATTACAATGAGGGACCTCAATATCCCACTGTCAAAAATGGATAGACAAACTAGACCAAAAAAGTCAACAAAGTAATATCAGTTGAACCAAACCTTTGAACAAATGGATGTTATAGATATCTTCAGAGTGTTCTACCCAACAATAGAATACACATTCTTCTCAGAACCACATAGGACTTTCTGCAAAATCGACCACATACTAGCCTGTAAAGCACACTTAAATAAATGCAAAAGAATCAAAATTGTCCCATGCATATTAGCTGATCATGTGTAATGAAACCAGAAATCAGTGGCAAAAGAAACCACAGAAATTATGCAAACACATAGAAATTAAACAATACCCTCTTGAATAATCAAAGGGTCACAGAAGAAATTAGACACTTCCTAGAATCAAGAGATAATGCCAATGCAACATGCCAGAACCTGTGACTCAATGAAAAAGTACTGAGAGGAAAGTTTATAGCTGTGAATGCCCACATTAGAAAAGCAGAGTGAGCCCAAATAAATAACCTAACAATTCACCTCAAGATCCTAGAAAAACAAGAAGAATCCAAATCCAAAGCTAGTAGAAGAGAAGAAATTATAAAAATCAGAACAGAAATTAATGAAATCAAACAAACAAAAAAACCCACATAGAATCAGTGAATCAAAGACCTAGTTCTTTAAAAGACTAAGAAAAATAGAGAAACCCCTAGCCAATTCTACAAAAAAAGGAAAGAAAAAGCCCTAATCAGTGCAATTAGAAATGAAAAAGGTAAAAATCACAACAGACTCTGCCAAAATCCAGATTATTAATAGCTACTTTGAGACCTTGTACTGTAGCAAAATGGAGAATTCAGAAGAAATGGATAGATTTCTAAATATATATGAACTACCACAGCTGAATCAAGAAGCTATAAAAACCCTGAATAATCCAATATGAGGCAATGAGATTAGAAGAAGTAATTTTTTTTTTTAAATTACCTAAGAAAACCTCAGGTCCTGATGATCTATAAGAACTTTAGAAAATATGTAATGCCAGTACTCCTCACACTTAAAAAAATTTTTTTTGGTACCGGGGAACGAACTCGGGTCCTTGCGCTTATGCAGCAGGTGGCAAAACCACTGAGCTAAATCCCCGGCCCTTCACACTCTTTAACGAAATAAAAAAGGAAGAAGTACTCCTGAAGTCATTTCTGGAAGCACATTAAATCTAAAAAAATTTCACAGATTAAACATTAAAAGTGCAAAATAATATTACATGCAACAGAGAACCTGGAATAGAACCCCAATTGTACAAGAAATAACACCAAGAATCAACAAATGGGATGCATATTAAATTAAAAGTCTTCTGGTCAGCCAAGGAAACAGTCAACAGAATGAAGAAATAATCTGCACAATGGGAAAAAAATTTTATAGCAACTCAGAAAGAGGATTAATATCTAAAATAGTTAAAGAACTCAAAAAAAATTGGAACCCCAGAATAAATTTAAAAATAGGTACCTGAAATGAACTGATTCTTCTCAGAAGAAAAAATACAAATGGCCAATAAATTCATGAAAAATGTTCAACATATCTGACCATTAGAGAAATAAAAATTGAAAAGACACTGAGATTCTATCTTGCTCCAGAAAGAAAGGCTATCATCAAGAAATCAAATAAATACTATTTAGACTTTAAGGGGAAAAGGAATCCTTTTACAGTGTTGGTGGGAATGTAAACTAGTGCAACCATATGAAAATCGGTATGGAGATTCCTCAAAAAACTAAAACAAGAAATTCTATTTGACCCAGCTATTCCCCTTAGAGATATCTTCCAAAAGCATTAAAGACCTGACATTCCAGTGCTACATGCATACCCATGTTTATAGCAGCATAATTCTCAATAGCTAAATCTTGGAAGTGGATGAATGGATTAACAGATGAATGGATAAGGAGAATGTGATATTCATACACCATGGAGTAGTACTCTAACATAAAGAAGAAAAAACTTGAGTCAATGGTAGGAAAATTGATGCAACTTGAGACCATAATATGAAGTGAAATTAATCAGACACACAAACTTAAATGTCACATGGTTTCACTTTTATGAGAAACCCATAGTAAAACTAAAGAGCAAAATAAAAGACAGATAATAGGAGATAGTGAGATAGATATTTTTCACATGTAAAGAAGACCAAGAGATGGAGGAGTGGGGCAAAGGAGGAGAGAGGAAGGGATAGCATAATTAAGATGCACCAACTCCCCACAAGGAATGTGGAATGTGATCATTATGTACTATAAACATGTATTAATAAACATTTTTTTTTGTACCAGGGATCGATCTCGGGTCCTTGCGCTTATTAATAAACATTTTAAAAATAACTACATACTAGGTCACAAGAAAGCTTAAGTTTCAAACTATAATATTGTATTTATCCATAAAACGTTTAAATTAATAATCAGTAATTTTAAAATGGTTAAAAATTACCATGAACTGGAAACTTTAAAAAGCACTAAAACTAGCAAAAGTACTACATTAAAAATTTTGTGAAGTAGAGCAAAGTAGTGAATAGAGCCTTCAAAGTGTATAGACTTCAATATAATTATGGTTTTAAAAAAGGACAATTGAAAACCAATATGCCTTCAAATCACTCAGTAAAAGAATTAGAGTAACAAGAGGAAGTAACAAAAGAAATGACTTCATATAATCAATGAACTATATTTTAATATATAGAATATATTTTTATAAGTCTCTAGAAAGAAACAGAAAAACCTTGCAAAACAATCAAACAAAAACTTTTCAAAAAACTAAAGTAGACAAACTTGCAGACAAGACTAATATAGGGAGACAAAAAAAGGAACAATAGGAAAGATAGAAAATGAAACAAAAATACCGCTATATATGATTTTTTAAAACCAAAGAGAATAGCATAAGCTTACTCCAAAAACAATAGAAAATTAAATAAAACTGAAAGATTTCAAGAAAAAAAATAGCTAAAAGTGATTCAAGAAGAAACACAAAACCATATCCCCTGATAAAAAAATATTTCCTGCCAAAGAAGTTAAATCCACACGCTTAAAGGAAAGGTTCATCAAACATTTCCTGCTCTCGTTCTGAAGCCACTATAAACTTTTGATTTTTCAACCCACTGATATCCAACTACCTTGAGCATTCCTTTAACTGCTAAAATAATTAGGTAGGCGACCAGTAAAAAGTAGCTATCAATGAACCCCAATAGACATCACAATTAGTGGAACATTAGAGCATGACGAAGATGCTACCAAGACAAGGATACTTGGTGGTCACCATTTCTATTCAATATTACGTTAGGAGTCAAGGTCAGGACAGTGGAATACTGTTTAACTGTTAAAAAGAACACTAAACAAAAGCACAGGCTTGGGATGGAGGCATCAGGGGACTAAGGCAGGTGACCAGTACCCCCCTGGCTCTTGTCACATCTTTTCCTACCTCTCCAGAGTGGCAAATTACCTGCAAATACCTTGGCAACCATCACTGCCTGCCCACAGGCTATTCTTTCCTCTTCTGTGTTTACTCTGCACCTCCTGCATACTTCTGCAAGCCACAGCGGGGGCAATTATTTGTTTACCTATGTGTACTTAACCCGTGGCTAGCACAGAGTAGGGGTGGAACCAGTGCTGCCTGCACAGCACTGTTCTCGCAAGGCTACAAACCCGCGAGCCCAGCACGGAGCTGGTCTGAGAAGCAGGACACACCCTGAGCCCGCAGATCCTGCCCCTCCCGAGTCTGGGCGCCAGGCCCGCCCGCCGCGCTTCCTCTTTCCTCTCCCCAGGCGGCGCACACCGCCGGCTCTCAGGGTTTGCGCCTCCTCCTGCCGGAGAGGGAGGGAGGCCGGGCAGCCTCAGCCCCTCACCCCGAGCGCTCGCCCCGCCTCTCGGGCCCCGATCCGGACTGGCCGCGCCGGCATGGAGGTGGAGGAGGCGTTCCAGGCGGTGGGCGAGATGGGCATCTACCAGATGTACTTGTGCTTCCTGCTGGCCGTGCTGCTGCAGGTGAGTCCCCTCCCAGCCGAGCATTCTCTGGGACGCGGGCGAGGCCTTGGCGCTCCTGCCCAGGTGTGGCCGGGCAGGGCTCAGGCCCAGTCCCGCAGCGCCAAGGTCACCGGCGGGCGCCGAGCCTTCGGGCTTCGCACCGGGCCTGCTGTCTCGCCACCCGGGGGTGGCAGGGCGTGTGGCGGGCACTCGGGCCCAGACCTGGTTAATAAGGGATGCACGATCACGTTATCCGCAGCACACTGCCAAGAGGAAAGGGACCGGTTACCCTAACCTGTGGCGCTGTCGCCTTGGAGTCTGAGTCACAGCCCTGAAAACCCCGCATACAAAAGGTTGCATCTAGCAAGGCCTGCTGCAGCTCATGCCAACTTTCCCCGGGTCTGAGGAGCTTCCGGCTCCAGGGTCTTTCGATGATGGAGTTTATTTCTGCCTTCTGCTAGGTCATTTAGCCGTCCAGGGAGCTTTGGATTTAGACCTTTATAAATCAAATAGTGCCATCCACAATGTATGGTTAACTGTGTGGAATCTCTTCTTTGTATAAAATTCCCAGAACCTACTTGCAGCACAACTTAAAAATGTGGGTTCCGTATACTAAAGGTCACTACAGGTCCACTTTGCTGGGCAGATTTACTCCTCCACCGATTTAAAGGGACCATTCTACATCAGTTGCTTCTCTCATTATTTTGAAAGTATTGCATTCAAAGTCCTTTGTTCCCGTCTCCCGTTATACATAGTACACGAGCCTCCCTCATTTCTTTCATGCATGCGTTGAATGAGTGTGTGACATACACTTAGAACTGGGTTGCAGTAGTGAACAGATCCCGGTTCCTGTTCTCAGGAGGCTTGTATTCTAGTGGCAGTGCGGTAGTTAACATGTGGTGATAGATAATCTAGGAAAGTACAGGGTGGTGGTGGGTAGGACCATCCATTTTCAAGCTGTCTAAACCTTGCATAAGGCAGTGGCTCCACAGGAAGACTGGGGTGGTGGTGGTAAAGGTTAACATAGATTCTCTTTTCCCCATTTAAGTATTTGAAAATTCAGTTGATTTCATCACCGGCCATAAAAATGGGCTGATATGATACAGTTCTTACTCTTAACTGAGTAACTTTTCAGCTCATAAATAATGTAGTATTCTGAAGTTCTTTTGGCTCATTGTTTTAGGTTTAAATGCACTTTCTCCATGGAGGAAAAATATTCATGCTAAATCATAAGAATATTAAATATGGGGAAAATAGAATTGTAATTATGTTGTCTGATCTTCATTTATAATGGTTTCTTGTTCTCTAACCTAGAACTCCAGGAACATAGAGCCTTTCTGAATAATCCCCTCTCACCACCGCCCAATTCCCACTTGCACTTCCTGTGTTATCATGTTCTTGCTTGTCTGGTCAGAGTATCTACTGACTTGGAATAAGTTTGTCTTGAGTGGAGTATGGTATTGACAAGGCTGGTGCTCTGGGAAGGACCTGTTAGGTTTCCCCACTTGCTTTTGTTTATTGTTGACTCATGTGGTTTGAGTTTGCTACCAAAGCCTATGACAGGCTTGTTCCCTAAACTTTGGCTGACGTATGATCAATATTCCAGCAAGGACCAGGTCTCAGAGTGTTATTGGTAATATGTGGCCACTTTTCTCATAGTTGTGGCTGGGGAGGTGTCCACTGCAGAACCAAGGAGGAGTCCAGGCAGGAGTGACCCTTTCCCAGCTAGGACTCACCGGTCCCGTTGAGCTGCATGATGTGGGTGGTTGTAGAGATCTCCTGAATATGAGAATGGAGTTCCCCAAAGACCGCCCCACTGCGTCTGGTTGGAAATATTTTGGGTTTGGGGCAGCTGGTCTGTGAAGTGGGAGTGCTGGGCGACCCGTCACATGGCTGTATGAGGGATGATAGGGACAATTTCATGTTTCTTGGGGTTCTTTCCCTAACAGAGGAAAAGTAAAAGGCCCCTTTCACACAGTTGGCTTAAATGGAAAGTTAGATTGTTTGCTTTTATTTACATCAAGGGGCTTTTCTTACCATTGTCCAGGGAAGGCACGGAACACTTGCACAGTGGTGCTGCTAGAGAAGGAGCCCTTGCTTCAGCCTTTTCTGTACCTGAGGTTTGGTGATGATTAACCTCAGGCCAGAGGCCCAGGACTAGAGGGACCGAGTTGAAATCTTTGTAGACCCTTCTGTTTTCCTCCTTCAGGACCACTGGTATTATTTAAAAAGTATTTTAACTTTCTTTACTTCCAGTATATCCAGATTCCAACTACGAGAATGAAATCACATATCAAAGCCAACTCTGAAGATCTCAGGTTAACTGATTTTTTGAATTACCAATTCAGTCACATAGCTCATCGAAGAGTTGCTTCACTGTCCGTTTTCTTTGCTAGGAAACTTGCCTTCACACTCTTTGCAAACACAATTTTGAAGCTCTGTAGTGTTCAGTTTTCATATATATAAAGAATAGATGAGGATTTTGTCAGTTTCTCTTTAGGAGGATAGGATGCAAATGCCCTGATGACAAAGCTATGTGGTTTTAATGTACATAAAAGAAAGTTAAAGAGAAAAGATTGCTTTATGTAAAAATGGTTGACTTATGAATAAGCAATAAGATTTACAATTTTACAGTTATAAAAATTCTTACCATCAAAATGTATTTGCCTTCCCCAAGGTCAGAGTTATTCATGGTACTGTATTTAAATATGAATAATTCCATTTAGTTTATTACTCTTGGTCTTTTCCAGTGGTATTTTATGGTTCATGCCTGGTGTCACTGTTTGTGAACACACATGCTTGTTTGCTAGCCTGTCTGGAGCTGGCAGGTTGGAAGAAAATTCTTGTTTCTTGCTTCTATTAGACATAAGACAAAAATGTACCCTCCTTCTTTTTTTTTTTTGTTACCGGGGATCAAACTTGGGTCCTTGCGCTTACGCAGCAGGTGGCGAAACCACTGAGCTAAATCCCCGGCTCTCCTTCTTTATTTGAATCAGTGGCTCCAAAACTTTCATTTTGCTGAACTTGTTGTATAATTTGCACAGAATTTAGTGCATCCATTAACCAACAGGAACTTGTAACCTGTGACAAGCATTAGTTTCACCAGCAAATTTGGGATGCAGTGCTGTGAACTTCCTGTTGAGGTACAGTATCCTTGTATCCAAGAAGGCATTATTGATATGTAAATGCTGGATAACCCCAACCTCATTTTTCAAGTCCTAGAACTACCAAAGCATGCATGTTATCCATGCAATAAATACCTCTTCATGGCATTTATGAAAGTGGCTTATTTTGCAGAACAAGTAACTATCATAGTCAACATGTGAAAAGGTATTTACCTTAGGTGATCATCAGGGACAGGTGTACTAAAATGACTGTAAAATACCATTTCACACTTATTCTATTAGCAAACATTAAAAGCCCAACAGTACAAGTCTGATAAAAATGAGAAATAGGAAACTATCTTATTTAGAGAACAATTAAACATCATCAAGTTAATTTAAAACCCAGCAGTGAACTCCTGGGTACACAGCCCATGGTGTATCTTGGACATATGTGTAAGGATATAATAATTATAGCACTGCTTGTAATAACAAAAATTAGAAAATACCTAAATGACTTTTAAAAGCGAACAGGTAACGTGTAGTATAAATTTGGTAGAATCTAACAACCAAAATGAGAGAAAAAGATCTGTTTATAAGTACATAGATGAATCTCCAAACCTTATGTTCAGTGAAAAAAGGAAGCATGATAAATACAATATACATTTTAACATTGAAATATTAAATGTTCTCAATAAAAATTTTAAAAACACATAAAACAATACTATATTTGGTTTGTGAGTGTGTATTAACAATTTAGAAGTATGAACGCATGAAGTGGAAAGTTCAGCACCTGATTCAGGAGGCTGATTGCCTCTTGGGCAGGAAGGAAAAGAATGGGCTTTGGGTGGGATACAAAAGAGGTCTGTAATATTGTATTTTTAAAATTTGAAGCCAATATGATAAAATTTAATATTTTATTCTTATTTTCTTAAGTTTGCTTTTCCAAGCCAAAAAATTGGTAAAGACGAGAAGATGTATCTTATCTGGAGGGCACACTACAGTTTGCCCAGGAAGAACAATGGTTCATGCTTTTTGGTTGATATTCCTTTAATCAGTGATGGCTGTGGGTTGTGGTCATTTAACACCATATACGGTAGAGTGGGGTAGAGTGTGTTTTGTGCAAGGTGCTTTATTAAACTTTGGCCAGAACACTGTCCTAGCTTACCTCTCTCCATGCTGTATTTGTCACCCTCACTCTCCCTCCACCAGGGATTCATAGGAAGATTGCCTTTTGATAAAGTATGGCTGCAAAGATAGCTGGATTTCCTAAACTCCTTACCATAAGGTCAGTGAAGACCTTATTGCATGACAGCCATTAAGATCAGCCCACAGCACCATCAGAGGCTCAGCTGGGATGAGAACTTATGGCATTGACCAGAGCTTCTCTATGATGACTCCCAGCCATGTGACCAGCTACCAGGGTTCTCTGCGCGTCTGAACAAGTTTCTGCTACTCGCAGTTTAGCTTGGTCGACCTGAGGCACTAGCCTGGATCGTGGGTCTGTTAGGAGTTTATGATGAACTGGAGAATGTTTGTATTCCGTCGCCAGTTACCTGGGAAGGACCCTCCAGGTCTGGAGACCAAAGCCACACTTGTCCTTAGAAAGTTACTGTCTTCAGGCAGACACTGCCCCCTGGTGTAAAGCAGGGGAAGTCGTAAATCTGGTTTTCCAGGGAGGTTGTGGAGCTAGTGTTAGAGGCCTCTAGCAGGTGTGGAGGCCCCTTTGGGCCTGGAACTTCTCAGGAATTGGAGTGTCCTTTGGAAAACAGGTCTCCTGAGACTTGTGCAGCACCCCGAGCCCCGGCAGCATGTACCCGGGCAGAGAAGGTATTACCTCCCCTGACGGCACAAAAGAAATCATTACAGTTATGAAAACAGGCCAGGTGAACAGGGCAGAAAAAGTGCTAGACTTGGGTG